TTTCGTGCATTAAAATGTGAACTGTGTTTGGAGTTGCATCTTTCCAGGTCTGTTTAAGAAATGTCGCCCAAGGGCAAGCCCCTCTTCTCCGTTGCCATGGCAGTCACAGAACAGTTGTCAACAACGCTGGAAGTGCTTTTGTGGTTGATTAGGCACAAAAGACCACAGCATTTCTCATTCCATCCTCTTTGTCCTGCAAAGAAAATAGGCCAGTAGGCAATGTGGTCAGCAGAGAGTTTTAAATTAAAATGTAGCTGTCAGATTCCCTCAGAGGTTTGTGTGCCCTCCTTCCCAGGAGTTCACGTTTGGGCCAGCCTAGACCCAAGCCTGCTGAGGAGGTCTTTATGCATAGGTCTCAAGCACATTTATTTCTCAAGCAGAACTAGGCATACCTTCATGAGCTGTTTTCCACAAACATATGTGGTCTGGGAGAGGGTATTTCTTTCCCTGGGTTGTGACTAGGCAGGAATGTTGGCATGCAGCATCAGTCGAGCTCAGAGTCCTCTATCTTGCGAAAATGCTCCTTGCCGTAGGTTTCTGAGGGGGCTGAGTCCACAGCCTGTACTTAAGGCTCCCCCGACCGGAGTACAGGGTTCCTGTTCAGTCAAGCTACTGCCTTTTCTCTCTGAATGTAATGGTGGTAACAGAGGGGGCAGGTTTCTAACCAACTTGATTTTTCTTGCCTCCCACCTTTATCCAAGATTGTCTGGTCTAGAGATTGGGATTTGTAGAAGGATTTACTTCTGTTCATCTCTGGGGCCCTTTTTGTCTCTGAAATTCCATGATTTTATGAAATACATATTCAGGACTGATCTTAGACTTACGGGAATTCTAAGATTGCATGAACAGATAAGCCAGCGAATATTATATACCCATGGAGGAACCAAAGGACGTGTCCTTTATGTGTCAGGGACTTGCATAGGTGAGCTTGCTGAAGGGGCAAGACCAGCTTGCGTGACTCCCTTGAAGACATCACAAGTCATGTGTCACCACTGTTGATGCTGCAAGTTTAGGGACAGATCAAGGACTGGAGAGTTAGAAAAGCCTTCCTGAGAGAAGCCAGCCCTGTGTCAGCCTTGTGGTTCCTTCCGTATTTGGAGGATGCAGAGGAATCGGGACGGGGGAATGCTGGGCCCTGCATCCTGGCCTCCTGGGACTATGACTGAGGCCATGGCATAGTAATTAGGAATGACCGATAGCCAGTAGTGAGGGAGATCACAGTAAACAAAATAGCCTCTCCTATTCACACTTGCTGAAGCCTGGGACAGAGTGGGGACAGATGGCCTCCGCCTCCTGATGGAACCTGGTGTGTTTACCGCGTTATGTACGTGGCACAGCTCAGTGTTAAGATGTGTAATCATCATCCAGAGTCATCAAGAAGACTTAATTCATCTATCACAGAGCTTACTGTCTTCAAAAACATGAAGAAAGGTAGGGTGCAGTGGCTCACACCTGTAGTCCCAGAACTTTGGGAGGCCAAGGCAGGCAGATCACTTGAGCTCAGGAGTTCAAGACCAGCCTAGGCTACACGGTGAGGGCCCGTCTCTACTAAAAATACAAAAATTAGCCAGGTGTGGTGGCTCATGCCTGTAGTCCCAGCTATTTGGGAGACTGAGGCAGGAGAATCTCTTGAAGCTAGGAGACGGAGGTCGCAGTGAGCTGAGATTGTGCCACTGCACTCTAGCCTGGGTGATAGAGTAAGACTCTGTTTCAAAAAAAATAAAAATAAAAAGGCATATTGGATTTTATCCCAAAAGGTCACAACCATTTTAAGTTGTGCACTTGAGTTATGTGTTTATTTAGTTACCTGGAAATTCTCATTCCCTAATATTGCTAGATTTATTGAGCATCAGAAAGACCGCCCTCTGTAGGTGAGAGTGCGCACACTTTTGGAAGTGTTTATCGTGAGATCCCTTCAGCTCCAGCGTTGGCTTCTCAGCCTGGGGGCTGGCCAGACCTGCGGCAGGCTGAGTCATCCCGTCGTGGCTCTGAGAGGGCAAAGCCGGAGGGAGTGCAGGATGCTTGCCCTTTCCCCTTGTTTGGTATTTTTGAGCAAAGGCTCTCACTCCTTGGGAGGACTATGAGAGCCATGCCTGTGACACCCAGGGCTGGCATCCCCCAGTACCCACCTCCACCCTGGGCACTTCCTGGGACCCCAGGGCTTTGCTCTGCGGGGGACTGCCAGGTGGGCTGTGGATTCGGCCCATTGGAGAGCATCCGCTGAGCCCCAGGCTGGAAGGCGGTGGGCTGGGAGCCCTAATGGGGACAGAAACCACTGCCCTGGGCAGTGCATCACACTCACAGGGTGGAGGGCTGAGACACAGCCAGGAGGCTGCAACCCAGACATCCCCTCACCGGCCCAGGCTGAATTACTGGGATTCCCTTGGCCCTTCCTTGCAGCTGAATAGAAAAGCAAAACTCAGCAACCACAAGACGGTTTTGAGTTGAAGATGGTTCTAAGGAGAACTTCTGATAATTGCCTTCTAATTTTTAAATTTAGATCAAGGTAATACTTTTCTGTTGGAATCCAGGAGCCTAGAGATGTTTCTGTATCAGTGGAGGAGTGGGGATGATGTGGGTTTAAAGCCCAGACACTCTGGAAAAGACATGCACAGGGGTGGGAGCTGGGCTAGGCACACCAGGGAGAGAGACAGAGAGAGAGAGAGAGGGAGAGAGACAGAGAGAGAGAGAGTGTATGTGTGTGTGTGTGAGATCAGGGAGAGGGCTGTGATAAATCTCTGGATAAGGCAGGAATAAAGAAACACTTGCACACCAGGGAGTGTATGTGAATGTGTGTGCGCGTGTGCGTGTGTGTGTGTGTGCGTGTGTATGTGTGTCTGTTCAGGGAGAGGCTTGCGATGAATCTCTGGATGGGGTAGAGATAAAGAAACACTTGCCCCTTTCTGGAGAATGCCATGGATAGAGGGCAGGGACGGGGTTGGGGCCACACTGACTTGGAGATTGCCAGGTGAGACCTTCAGGGCAAGCAGAGGGATCTTCTGCAGGAAGAGCTCTTGTGACACAAACCTCCACGCAAGGCCACCTACTCAGCAGGCTGCTCTTGCACCCCACCCTGTCCCAGGCAGCCAGAAGCTCTTCTCTGTAGTTACTCAGCCCCACATGTTCCAGCAGGAGAGCACACTCACCATGATGGGGTTCATGCTCCACGTACCGGCTAAGGAGGAGCTCCTTCTGTCTATCTTGGTATTCCCAGGGCTTTGCAGACACAGGCACTCAAATGTGGAATGACAGTGAGCAACTGAGTGATTGAATGATCAGAACTTTCGAAATGTGGATTTGCTTTTAGGAGTCTTAGGTAGACTTCCATTATGCAATGTTGGTCTCACCAGATTTCCCCTGATAGCGTTCCCCAGCCTCACATGACTGTACATTATCTAGGACAATATTAAGTACCAACTGAATGCAGGCACTTTTGGGGACAGAACTCTGAAAGCTTTGCCATGACTCTGCTCTTAAGCAAGTTAGCTGCCTGGCCTCCAGATTCGACTCTGTTAAAGTCTTGAAGCAGAGCTCCAAGGGGAACCGAAGGGGCGGGCAGACAGGATTCCAGTGGATAGGTTAGGAGCACCCTTGTCTTAGTGTGAAGTGGAGATCCCTGAGCCACCCTGTGAGTGCTGGAACACAGTGTGGTCATCCAGGAATCAAAGGGAGTTCCATCCTGGTGCTCCGGCTACTGCAGATAATCCTTGTAAGCCGATCTGCTTAGCAAGGTACTAGAAAAGGAAAACCTAAAGGGCAAGATAAAAATATATCTGTGGTACTTAACATGGTGGTGTTTGGAGATGTCAGCACGTATGCTATTACACAGAGGCCACGTGGTACCGGGAAGCCCGAGGTGGCGGTTTGTAAATCATATCAGAGTTCCAGCTCTCCTATTGATTCAGCACATGCTGTTGTGCAGGCCGTAGACTTTTGAGCCTCAGTTTTCTTACGTCGAATGATTGTGAGGGTTCAGTGAGAATCAGATATGTGCAGACTCTTGCTGTGTCATTGCAAGTTGTTCTTCAAAGTGGCGAGTGTCCTGCACTGTAGACCATGAGCATATTCTCTGGCCACCTATGCTCCTTTCCTGTTATAGGTGCCCTCTCGCATCCTGTCTCCCGCTTGGTGGGGTACCTGTTCTTTGCTCCCCTGCTGCTCTCTGAGGACCAAGCAGGGGATAGGTTGGAGACCAAGAACATCGGGACATGGATAGTCACCTTTGTACCCCTCTGCCAAAGGCTAGAGATAGTAGTCCAAGGGGCAGAGGGACCCAGAAAGGTGGAATGGTCTCAGTAGAGGCCCTCTTAAGTTCACTCTGCCCTGGATGGCTGCAGTTGTTCTGGTCTGTATATAACCTAAGTTCCAGACTGGGTGCGGTGGCTCAGGCCTGTAATCCTAGCGCTTTGGGAGACCAAGGCAGGCCGATCACTTGAGGTCAGAAGTTCAAGACTCTCCTGACCAACATGGTGAAACCTTGGTTTTTTTTTTTTTTTTAAAAGTGAGTTCCAGGATTCCTTATTCACAGGGGCACCGAGGCCTAGGGGACAAAACCCTGAAACAGGACCTGAGAAACCTGAATCTAGACTTTGTTCTTCACTCATTAGCTCTGCAACCATCAGTAAGTCTCTTGTCCTTTGGGGGTCCTCAGTGTCTTCTTTTGTAAACTGAGAAAAAATACAAAAAAGTTTTTATGTGCATAAAGTTAAATGTAAGTTACGAGTTACAACTTCTTCCTCTTTCAACAAAGGGCTAGATGGGATGCAGCTAAGCAGGGATCCAGAAGAGGGCACAGAAGCCACTCGACCAGGGGGCTGAGTTCCAGCTTTAAGTTCTTATTCTGGAGGCAGAGGTGTGATGGGACCTAGCTGGCTTCTGTATGAGGCCATCTCTGATCTTTTGCCCCTTTACCTGACTCCAAAAGAGGATTTTTCTTTTAGGACCTGCTTATTCAGTGAAAAAGCTTTGCATTAATTTTGTTTTTGTTTTTTTTTTCTCAGTATCCAGCGAGCAGCATTGGTGGTCCTAGAGAATTACTACAAAGATTTCACCATCTCTAACCCGAACCTCCTAACAGCCTCCAAATTCCGAGCAGCCAAACACATGGCCGGGCTGAAAGTCTACAATGTAGATGGTACGTGCCTTGAAAGGGTCTCTGTGGTGCTCACCGGGGCACAGCTGGGTGACTATTTAAGCTTCATGGTGCGTTTGGTTCTGCTTCCTCTCTGGGCCTACCTTTATGGTGCGTTCTCGTTTCCGAACAATTTCTCTTTTTTATGTAGGCAGACACGTTTTTAGAGGAATGCTGATTTACCATCTACCTATGTGGGAAGCCCGTTCATTTTGGGATTTTTGATTGAAAACAGTATGGTGTGTGTTTTCTGCCGTCCGCCAGGATCACCTTATATTGGAAGCTATTAGGAAAGGGCTGCTTTCAAAATGTGTGCACATTACCCAAAGACTCAGAAAGCTACCTAAATCGTGAAGACTAGAAATTTCAGTAGTTCAGGCCTCTGGGGAGATACCTACAGGCACTTCTTACTCGTGGCTAGGAGCCAGAGTTGAGTGAGTGGCAGGAGGCTGATGGCCAGGCTGGGGAAGTGCAAGAAACAGGACACAGTGTCATTTCTTACGGGTGCCTTGGGTGAGGACGAGGGCTTAGCAGACTCTAGGAGAGCATTATATTGTTAACAAATCTAGTGATTTATATACAGGGTCCATTTGTGGTGGCAAGATCCTCCCGGTCATTTGCTCATTTTTTGGCCCTGTGAGGTGTGAGCTCCCTCATGAAGCTTGAAGGATTAATTAATTCCACCTGCCATCTGAAAACTTAGCAAAGATTCCCTCTAGTGAAACCAAGCCACCAGTCAAGTAGGTCATCCATAAGAAAGGCTGAAATCTGCGTTATCTTTCTGAAAAGTTAAGGTGGTCAGTGGTCAGGGAACAAGACAGGATTTCTGAGTCTGTGTTAATTAATGGTTATGTTGCATGTCCTTGAGCATTGGTATTTCCTATAAAAGTTGTGGCTGCCATGACATTCCAGCATAGCTTGCTTTCCAGTGTGGACTCAGTGTCTCGTGTCCTTTGACTTTCCTTCTTGTCTCTTTGTCCTTGTTCTCCCCGTGCCTCTCATTCTGTCTCATTGTCTTGTTGCTGAAATTCGATGTCCCAGCTGCCCTCATGGCCAAACTGAAACTTATGTAACAGATGGTGACATCTTTAGCACACTCTGTGTGTTTTTGGCCAACATTTTAATTGTCAAGCATTCTACATCCCCTTCTGCATTCTTTTTCCATTTCCACTGACCAGATTGGGGTTTAGGGAGATGCCCCTGTTCTCTTGCCTTGGACCTAGTAAATGCAGAGCCAGGGCACAGTTCACCCTCCTGGGAAGTGACCTTTAGGATTTGTGTGTGTGTTTCATAGGGGATGGGTAGACAGCATTGATGGATTGTGGTACTAGTTTTCTGCTCTGTTTCCCAGCCTCGTGGTATTAACACTATTCTTCCACTGTCCTTTCCCCAAAGGCCCCAGTAACAATGCCACTGGCCAGTCCCGGGCCATGATCGCTGCCGCTGCTCGGCGCAGGGACTCCAGCCACAATGAGTTGTATTATGAAGAGGCGGAACATGAACGGCGAGTAAAGAAGCGGAAAGCCAGGTAGACAGCCCTCCTGATGCCAGTACCCTCTTGTAGACTTTTAAATTTTTATTTTATTTTATTTGCTTTTTAAAAAAAAATTTATTTACTTAGAGACAGAATCTCACTCTATTGCCAAGGCTAGAGTGCAGTGTCAAGATCTAGGCTCAATGTAACCTCTGCCTCCCAGACTCCAGCGATTCTCATGCCCAGCCTCCTGAGTAGCTGGGATCACAGGAACCCACCGCCACACCTGGATAATTTTTGGTATTTTTAGTACAGACAGGGTTTCGCTATGTTGGCCAGGCTAGTCTCAAACTCCTGACCTCAAGTGATCTGCCCTCCTCGACCTCCCAAAGTACTGGGATTGTAGGCATGAGCCACCGTACCCTGCCTCTTGTAGACTTTTAATCTTTTCTTTTTTACTACTAGAATCAGGCTTCTGTTTAAAAACACGACCTGCTGGGACACCTTTGGAGTGCACCTTGCTCCAGTGTTTTTCAAACTGAAGGCCGTATGAGCATCAGTGGAAGGGTTGTTCAAATACACGCTACAGGTTCTGGGCCCTGCCCGCAAACGCCCAGCCCAGTAGGTGTGGAGTTGGGCCCAAGAAATGGCGTTTCTAACAGATTCCTGGGTGATGCCAATGCTCCTGGCCCCCAGCCCACACTTGAGTGGGCCTGTCCTGTACCCCGGGACCCTTGCTGCTGTTTACCCTCAGGTCGTATTACCTGAAGGGGACAGAGGTGCTTTCTGTTATGTGTGCTATGCCTCTTCCTGTTTCCCAGGGGCTGCTGGTGTGGGTGGCTGGACAGGGAGCACACAGCTCTGCTTCTTTGTAGGGCTGCTTCTGCACCACCAGCCACCTCTCTCTGTATAGAGCCTTTTTTAGCCATTTGGAGGGGCCTCAGATAGAACTTTTTTCATCTAACCATTGCAGAGATGAAAAAAGGATTTAAGTGAATTTCCCAAGTTCATCGGCGGCAGACTTGAGAACAGAATTCATCTCCCAGTCCTGGAGCTCCTCCCTGACCCCCGTGGCCCCTGTTCCACATGTTATTTTTGCTGTTGCCTTTCTTCCTCCCTTCCTCCCTCTTCACCCTCTAGGGGACAGCGTGATTAGGCCTTGAGTATGTTGGCAGGTCGGGCCACAGCAGGGTGGACGGGCGTCATTCTGTTCGCACATCCTGTGCTAGGCACCATCCTGATTTACTTAATGTTACATCACCTTCTAGGCTGGTGGTTGCAGTGGAAGAGGCCTTCATCCACATTCAGCGTCTCCAGGCCGAGGAGCAGCAGAAAGCCCCAGGGGAGGTGATGGACCCTAGGGAGGCCGCCCAGGCCATTTTCCCCTCCATGGCCAGGGCGCTCCAGAAGTACCTGCGCACCACCCGGCAGCAGCACTACCACAGCATGGAGAGCATCCTGCAGCACCTGGCCTTCTGCATCACCAACGGCATGACCCCCAAGGTGCGCTGCTCCGGGCGGGCTCTGCCACCATCAGCCTGGCTCGTTACTGAGCTTGGCCAGTTGAATTTTACGGTGTTACTAGAAGTGATAAAATCAAAGCCTTCTCTAAAACACCAAGTAATAACAATTAGTGATTCTCAGTTATTTTCTATTATGTTAGTACAATTGTTTTTTAAAACGTGCTTTTCGAAGGTCTCTAGATTCTAACAGAGGAGAGAATTTCACTTGGAAACAGTATAGAATAGTGATTGGAGGAGTATAGAATAATATATTAGGGGTGCATTATGGACTTGGGAGCTGAGCTGATTCATTCTCAGCTGGCTCCTCTACCAACTAGATGTGAAACCTTGGGCAGATGATAATGGCTCTGTGCCTCAGTTTCCTAACCTGTTAATTGGTTAAGATAATACTAGTAACTATCTCATTTGTGTATTTTGGGAACTGAGTTTATTCATGTGCTTAAAATAGTACCTGTCATATGATGAGGGTGGACTAAATAGCTATTATTATTATTATCATCATTATTGGAAAAAAATAATGCCATCAGACATTTTGGGTATTATAGAATTAGTTTTACTGAGTGGTCTTTTTGATTATGACATTTAGCATACTTTAAAGAGTGTTACAAGAAACAACCATATATCTAATACAGGGCTGTGACCAAGGAGGCAAAATAAAGATATAGCAAATGACTTCTCTACAGAGTGGTGGGTTCAAATCCTGAATCCACCACTTAATTGGTTTGTGACTGTGCACAAATTAGTCTACCCTCTGTTAGATATATGGCTGCTGCTTGCGATATCCCTAGAAGTGTGCTAACCACCATAATCTAAAAGACCATTCAGCAAAACTAATTCTGCAACACCCAAAATGCAAAGTGATAGCAATATTTTTACCAGTAATAATAATAGCTATTTAGGCTGGCCTCATCATATGACAGGTACTGTTTTAAGCACTTCAAATGAATCAACTCTTTCAGTTCCTCTATCCTTGTCTGCTCTTGTATCAATGAGGATAATAATAATATCTATCTGATGGGGTTGCGGTGTAAGAATTACATGAAATATGGCAACATGGCATGTGAGTCGCATGGTAGAGGGTAGATGAGCGTGGCATGTGATACACATGTAACATTTGGTAGCTGTTTTTTGTAAGGACCCCTGTTCATACATTGTACTATATGCGTATCCTGCTGGTTACATTGTCAACCAATAACTACCCTTAGGAAAGCAATGTAGAAATATTCAGTAAGAAACTAGAAAGTTTTCTGTATTGACTCACTAATCTCTCTCCTAGGAAAACTATTTAGTACAATCACATATACACATGAATATGCACAAGAGTGGTGTTTTGCAAAACAATCTGTAATACCTCCACAGTGGAAATAATTTAAAACTATCATAGTGGCTTATAAATTATGGTATATCACCTGTTTAATCATGGAAGAGTCTGTTAGAATAGTAAGTTACAAGAAGTAGAATGCAGAAACGTGAGTACCATGGTTGCAAATGAGGAAAACGTGTGCAGGTGTAAAATCATGGCTTTCCGTATAGATCCAAAACAGTTGTTTCCCTTTTTTAAAGATTTTAGAAAGTTTCCTGGTTGCTTTTCATTTCATTTAAAAATCTTATACTTTTCTGAATTAAAATAATGGCCATTGTTCATATAGAAATCCAAACATTAAAGGAAAGTATTATGTGGAAAGTGAAGTTTTCATCCACCCTACCCTAACTGTTTTAGTTCTTACTGATAACGAATTGGTGTATATTCTTTCAAATATATGTGGATGTTTTTTAAGCTGAAATGGGAAAACAAAACAGAAACGGGGCAATTTCTCTCTCTCTCTCTCTCTCTCTCTCTCTCTCTCTCTGTGTGTGTGTGTGTGTGTGTGTGTGTTTGTGTGTGTGTGTGTAAACCACAGGCCCACGCCACCATGCCTGGCTAATTTTTGTATTTTTCTATTTTTTTGATAGAGACGGGGTTTTGACATGTTACCCAGCCATTCTCAAACTCAAACTCCTGAGCTCAAGCAGTCTACCTGCCTCAGCTTCCCAAAGGGCTGGTATTACAGGCCCCGGGCCCAGCCTATACGTAAGATAGATAGATAGATAGATAGATAGATAGAGATTTACATACTACATGTCTCTATATAATGCATATTATCCTTCTCTATATATAGAGAGAAAGATACAGATATACAAAACCTTGCTTTTTTTTGTTAAAGCTATTCCTTGGCTGTCTTTCCAAGTCAATACATACAGATCTTACTCATACAGATCTAACTACAGATAGAACTGATTTCTTGTAATAGCTACATCTTATTCTACCAAATACCATGATTTATTCAACTGATTATCTGCTGATACACATTTGGATTAAGAGGTTTCATTAGTCAAAGCCAGGGGCTGGGCGTGTTTGTTAATCAGATTTCATTGGCACACAGCCATGCCCTGTCTTTATGTATCACCTATGGCTGCTTTCACTCTGTACCAACAGGGTTAAGTAGTTGTGACAGAGATATGGCTTGAAACTCTGAAAATATTTACATCTCTGGAAAAGTTTGTCAATCCCTGGCTTAAACATCACTGCGGTGAATACCTTTTTACATGTGTATTTGTACAAGCATTTCTGGTACATAAGTTTCAAGCAGAGAAATGGCCAGGTCAAAGTTGTAGATCCTACCACATTGCCCTCCTAGGGGCGTTACTTTTGCATGCTTTTGCCTCTACCATCTGAGATTTTTTATTTCCCGCGTACTTGGGAGCATTGGATGTCATTCTTTTAATCATTGCCCATCTAAGAGGAGGAAGTTAGTTTTTAATTCTTCTAGTTTATATTTCTTTAGTTGATAATGTGATAGAAAAATTTTATATGCTAATTTTCCAATAATATTTATTCTCCTGTAAAATTATTGTTTTAGTTTAATTTCTCTAATTGTTGAGTTATTTTCTTTTTCTTATGATTCATCAGAGCTATATTTATATTCGAAGTGTGAGAGCCGACAAAGTCTTATTTTCTGCCTTACAATAGATGTTTCCACAGATGAAAAATAACATACCTAGCAAGGTGTGAATAAAAGAGGACACCTGTTAAAAACTGTTCTTGGCCAGGTGCGGTGGCTTACACCTGTAATCCCAGCACTTTTGGGAGGCTGAGGTAGGCAGATCACTAGTGGTCAGGAGTTCAAGACCAGCGTGGCCAACATGGTGAAACCCCATCTCTACTAAAAATGCAAAAATTAGCAGGGTGTGGTGGCACGTGCCTGTAATCCCTGCTACTTGGGAGGCTGAGGCAAGAGAATCACTTGAACCTGGGAGGCAGAGGTTGCAGTGAGCCGAGATTGTGCCACTGCACTCCAGCCTGGGCACCAAAGTGAGACTCTGTCTCAGCAAAACAAATGAAACCTGTTCTTGACTCTGTCTGGGACCTGATTGATATATCCCAGTATGTTTCTGTCTATATTACTGGCTCATTTCATTCTTTCTTCCCTTCTTATAGCTAAATCAGTGTATTTATTTGATTTAATTCACATGCTGTTGAACTCCTAGTATGTGCTAGGCACATTGGAATTTCACATTTTAGAAAAACAACAAAACATACTTCCTGCCCTTCAAGAGAATGGAGTGTAGTGTGGGGAGCAGACAAGCAAGTCAGCAATCACTTTGAAAGTAAAGGGTCACACGAGAGTCAGTGATTACAGGAGCCTGGAGGAGGACATGTTAATCTGCCTGAGAGGTTCGGGGGAGGTGGCTTAAGAAGATTTGAAGGACAAGGGAGAATGAGCTGAATGGCAAAGTTAGCTGGAAGAACTGCACATGTATCAGAACTCCATCGAGCCGGGTGCCACTGGCGCAGAGAGCTCAGGAGAGGGGCATCAGGCCTGGGCATCTCGTGGACTTGCCGTGTGCACACTTAGCCCAACAGGAAATAACTATTGCTTGCTTACCGTGCCAGGCATTGCTGTGAGTGCTTTTTGAGAGCCAACACTTTCATCCTCATGGCAGCCCTGCGACTTAGGTAGTGTCACTGCATCCACTTAGAGGGAGTATAAATGACTTGTGCAGAATCACTGCTGGTAAGTGGTAGAGCATGAACTTACAGTTCATGCAAGTATATTCCACTCAAGTTTCCTAAGTGCTCCTTTGGCCCTGGCCCTGAGACAGTTTTGGTTCAGGAGGAGGAAGACATGGAGAAACAGGTCTAGTAGGGCCACACCCTAGGAATGGAGTGATGCAGAGGTGGTGGCCTCCTGCCACTCTACCTTCACTCCCCTCTGTGGGTACCACTGTTCTCACCCTTGGTTGGTAGTAACGTCAAGGGGAATGAGGAAGTCCAAGAAGTCTTCCCTTCCCAATAATGACTCAGTTGATGAGTGTGATGAGCTGGGCTCTGGTCTAAGCTGGTTCATTTGGAAAATGTTCTTCATAGGTGTGAGAGTGCATAGCTGCCTGGCAAGACTGCCCGTAGAATGGGCTGTTTCTTCTCTAATAGCTTTTCTTCTCTGCTTCCAGGCCTTCCTAGAACGGTACCTCAGTGCGGGCCCCACCGTGCAGTATGACAAGGACCGCTGGCTGTCTACACAGTGGAGGCTTGTCAGTGACGAGGCTGTGACTAATGGATTACGGGATGGAATTGTGTTCATCCTTAAGTGCTTGGACTTCAGCCTCGTAGTCAATGTGAAGAAAATTCCATTCATCGTACTCTCTGAAGAGTTCATAGACCCCAAATCTCACAAATTTGTCCTTCGCTTACAGTCTGAGACATCAGTTTAAAAGTTCTATATTTGTGGCTTTATTAAAAAAAAAAGAAGAAGAAAAATATATAGAGAGATATATATCTATCCCAGAGGGGTGTCTTTTTTTTTTTTATATTCTTCTTCATTACTGACTGAAACTGGCAGATGATAGACCAGTATCCTTTGACCATCTGCACTTTATTTGGAAGGAAGCAGGGACTGTGCACCCTGAAAAAAAGTGACTGATGACACCTGACTTTTGTCGATAGGACTTCTCAAGAAGCTGTTCCCTGGAGTTTCTGTTACAGCTGTAAACCAAAGTGGAGCTGGTGCATTCTTGGGAGCCTCGCCTTACAACTCCTTCCTGCCTCTCGTCCAGTACCACGTCCCCCCTGCTTCCGGTCAGCCCACTTGTAGACTTCCAGGGGACACTCCTTTATTCTGTTTCAGGAAACCAGTCACGACACGTCCACACATGTATTTGTGTATGTTAATGTTCAGCATCACATCACCCACGAGAGTCGTGGGCGGTTCAGGAGATACCTGCCTTCGTCTTTGTTCTTCGTTGCCTTAGGTTCTTCAGAGAAAGATCACAACAAAAAATGTGCACTGTTGTTTACAGCTATTAAGTGATTTGATTTTGTCTTTTTTTCCCAAAGAGAAAACTTACTGGCCCTGTTTCTGATCCCACCCCTCTACTGGCTTGAAGCAGGTAGCCCTTCCCAGGCCCTGCAGCTGTCCACCTGGCCTCCATGCCATCATACCTCCACCTCGCTGGCAGCGCTGGCTCTCCATGTGTGCCCTCAGGCTCTTTGTGCAGCCTCAAGTCGGTCCCAGGATTGCTTCCATAGGGAAGTGTGGGGTGCCCAGCAGGTAAAGCACAGGGAGAGCAGGCAGTGGGAATGCCCCCTTTAGGCTGTAGCAGGAGCCCCGCCCTGCCCAGTTTTCCTCCCCACTACTCCACACCAACCAGGGGAGACTAACACTGTGACCCTGGGATTGGCAGGTGCGACTTGGAACCACTTGATTTCCTGGAGTAATAAGTTCTCCCGAAGCTCATAGCAAGCTGTCCTGCCCAGGGACACCAAACCATGCCAGCCGTGCTAGCAACTGCTGCTGTCCAGCCCCTGTGTTTCTGACCACCGTCACTGTGCAGCTCATCGCCTCGGCCACTTAGGACCGGGAAAGAGGCTAGTTTTGTTCCCACTTTTAGCTACTGATAAAGTGAGGAGAAGGAAAATGGACACTCTGCGGAGTTTGGGGAAGGGAGAGTAGGGAGCCCATCTTCTTGTCCAGAAAGATTCATCTGTGAGCTGTCTCTCCCTCTATCTTTTTTTTTTAGATGGAGTCTCCCTCTGTCACCCAGGCTAGAGTGCAGTGGCGCAATGTTGGCTCACTGCAACCTCTGCCTCCCGGGTTCAAGCGATTCTCCTACCTCAGCTTCCTGAATAGCTGGGATGACAGGCATGTGCTGATTTCAGTAGCTTTCCCCTGGCCCTGGGAGAGCAGACACTGCTTGGGTTGTGGGTAGAGGAGCCTTCCTGGTGGACCCCTGCTGCAAGGAGCTTCTTCAGGAGCCCCATCCGGACCTCTTGCACTGGGCTGCCTTTGCCCCCACTTGCCTTCCTGTATCTGCAACAAACCTTTTAAGTGTTCACGCTTGCTTTTCCCAGTATTTCAGGCAATTGGCCACCTTGCTGTAGTACAGGATGACACTGTCCAATGCTCTTTACCCCCTGCTTCATGCACTCTACAAGTGGTACAGTATTTTGTGTCATTGTAAAAATCAAAATTGGCTTTGGATCTCTGTAATACACCTGTACCTGAAAAAGTAAACAACATTCTTCAATCACCAGCCTTCAGCTTGGGAAAAGACATGCTAGAGAAGAAGGAAGGGGGAGCCCATAGGTGTGGCATGAAGCCAAGATGTGCTATTCAACTATGTGGTTCTGTTTATAAAAAAACACATACCATGTAACCATGGTGCTTTTGTTCTTAGTTTTTGCCTTTAGGTCCCTTTAAACTGGAAGTTCCTAATAATGTCTTTCTCAGGAAATATTCTGGGAGATGGGGTAAGGGATAGCAAGTGTGAGATGGGCTATGTCGGAGGTTGCTATGTCATAGATACAGTGCAGTTCAAAGTGCCATATGTGTATATACATGTAGTTAATAATGACACTGTTTATCACCATTCTAAAATACTGTTCTTCTAACGCTATCTTAAGTGACCAGTCCAGAAGGGGTTAAGCTGCATTCATTTGCTCTGGCATGTGCATTCCCAGCAGGGTGAGGAAAGGTCTAAATTACAACACTTATTTTCTCTCTCCCCCTTCCTCTCTCTCCCAGTCTTTGCATAGGAGAATGTCAGACTTTCAAGAATTACTGTTTGTTTTAAATTGAGTATTGATTTTTTACATTGACTTTGTATTGAGTTCTTTTTGAAAGAATAACAAAGTAAAATGCAGGATCTTTGTAAAGCCTTTGCACTTTCAACCTCTTAATAGCTTGAGTTACTGGCGCAGCGGGAACAATGTAAATGACATTCAAACGATTGAAGATTTCAGAAAGCTGCATCCCACAATTGAACACAATGCATTTTTATTTCAATTCTTGGAACCAGTAGGCTATTCTTTTTAAAAGGGGGTGAACTCTGCCCTAAGACTAGTAGAGCATATGTTCATATTATAGGAGACAGGATTTCATTTGCCTTAAATGTTTATAGATTTTTTTAAATGATTTTCAACCTAAGTTATTAAAATTAGAGCACTGAGTGTTAAAGAACTTAATGAGGAGTATATGTCTGAGATCGCTGTCTTCCCTGGCGATGTTTTCACTGGTAGATAACTTGTTCTTAAATGTGTACGTTTGAAGATAGAACAATTTTTATTGTCCATGAATCAGATGTTAAAAAGTTCCGTATGCATCCTCAGAGGGGATTTTAAAGCTATATGGTTCATCCATCCTTTGCGTTATCAAAATGTTAAGTCAAATGCATAATACTTTGGCTAAAGTGCGTAAAGTAAGCCCTAGAGAAAATACTTGAGCACCAATTTTTCCCCAACTTCATCACCTCCCTCCCTTGCCCCTCCCACATGGCTCTGCTCTTCCCTTTTGACATCTACATAGAGGACAAGTTTTTCACAACAAATGGTAAGAGGCAGGTGACCTGGTATGTTTGCTGTGTGTGGTTCATTGCCTGGGGCTTGGGACTCCTTTTTTAATGGAGAGACTGGCTGTGCAGGTGTGTGTTGGACAGGGCTGAAGTGCTCACCCCTCCCCTCTCTACAGTAGGAGGTAGTAGTTGATTTCTCTCATTTTGCCTCTCATAATCACTTTGGAGTGCACGTATTTACCTAAGGGCTATAGTTTTGTGGGATGCTACCAGCATATTGGACTGACAGAAATTGATTACCTTGCCACTCCAACCCAGGTACTGAGTGAGTGTTCCAGCCACTCAGTGAAACCAACAAAAGTCAGTCCTTGGTTTACCTTCCAATCTGGGCCCTGCTGTGTAAGTCTCCCTAAGTGGGGATGCATATTTGTTTGTGCATTTTTGTTTCCATATATGTGAGCATTTCTCGAGTGTATTACCAGATGGATAGCACATTTGTATGTCAGACTCTTAACATCTGTGTTATCTGTAGCAGATAGGTGTGTAGCTCGGCAGATATGTGTGAAATGTGTATATAGCTGAGTGTGTGAGGGTGTGTTTCTGCAGTCCCCTGTGTTTAAGAGATTACCTAATAACCCTGTGTTTTGAGAGGTCACTCTAAAACCAGTAACTTCTCCCTCCCCTGCTTGATTCCTTTCCCTCACTGACACTGTCTCCTCCCCTGAGTGAATGGCTTTAGCACAGCACAGTCTTCTGTTGAGCCCGCTGTCCTGCAGGCAAGTCCATTAGACTCTATCTTGCTTTCGGACTGTCCTGCAGGCAAGTCCATTAGACTCTTTCTTGCTTTAAGACTGCAAAATGCAAGAAACAAAGAAAGGTCAAGCTCTATGAGAATTACTGCCCGAACTTCACTACCCTGGAAGCCTTACTAGATATTTCTTAATGTAACTTACAAGTTGGGCTTTATTTTTAAAAAGTGATAGGTTACTAAAGCCACACAGAAATGTTACCATATTTATTTAAATAGTCCTGCAGCAGAGACCCTGACTGTAAAGTGATTTAACTATTTCTGGGTAGTGTTTGTGCTTTATGGATCTGTTACCACAAAACAAACAAAATCACTACTGTGAATTTACTACTATGTAACCTTGTGGTCGTATTTTATTATAAATAAAATATGAATTGCTCTTCTGCCCACCGTGCTTGATTGGTATTCAGTGCAGTAGTCAAAAGAGATAGTTTAGACACTGTTAAAATAACTGCATTGAGCTTTAACCAAATATATGCTCTGAAAATTCTATTTTGGATCACATTTTGACAAGACATGTTTGTCAAAGAAAGGAAAGGCTGCTAACACATTTATCAGGTATTGTGTATCACAGCCCGTGTTCCACCCAGCCTTGTTAGCCCCACATTCTTTCAAGATAGGAGTTATCTTAGTTTTTCAGGTGAGAAAAGGAAGATCAGAGAGGAAGGGGTTTGCCCAAGGTCTCATGGCTGGTTAACAGAATTTCAAACTAGATATTTGATTCTAACCCCTCAGTCTTCTGTACCGTAAGGTATGGTCTAAATTATTTCGCACTTTCAGATGCTGAGGAAGGACCTAGAGACACGTCCTGGGGTGGAAGGCAGGATCTCCTCTTTCGCTTTGGATTTACACCTTGTCCTTTGGGAAGCTTCTCCACTATGCTGCAAATATCTTGGCATATTTGATGGAAAGAACTTGAGAATCCCCCTTCCTTCTGGAAAACCCAGCCCTGCCAATGTTGCACCTGCCTCAAGACAGGGATGCTGCTGTTCCTTCAGCCCCCGCTTTGCTTTTGCCGGGCCCCACCTGCTGCTCCCACTCTGCTGGCTTGGGCCAGATGCGTGCCTTGGGCCTTGGGTACAGGGGGGCAGGCAAAGGCTTGGCCTGGCCTCTCTCTGGTGACATGGCAACATTATGCCCCAACCTTCTTCCCTGGTTAGAGTGAGAGGGGCTGCCCACAGCCCCATCCTGGGGGGATCTCGAGCTGGAGTCCCTGGCCTGCCTCCTTGACGTAGGTGTTCTCAGCAAGCAGTTTGCATCCCACTGTTTTTCCCACACTTGCCCTCAAGACTTTTGATAGAGCAGACAAAACAGGACTTGAAAAACCATTTTTCTTTATTCTCGTATGCAGTAAGTTTTGATTCAGTTGTGCATAGATCGTTTTCTGCCCTGCTGTTTGCTTTCAATGGAAGACAGTAAGGGGAAGATGGTGCTCACGTCTCTCCTAGTTGCATCTCATTAGGAATTAAGATGCAATGGATTAGAAATATAAAACTTCAGAATAAAATTAAATTAGAGATGTAAAACTTCGGAATAAAATTAACTTTTAGGGTTCTATAAGTCCCTTTTTCCTGGGTCCTGTTACCTTTCTACACAGATAACCCAATTTGTTTTGTCTTTAAATAAATGTCTTTATTGGGTTGTTTTAGAGTCTCTCCAGCAAAAGAACAGATTCCTAAAGCCAGATGCAGCACCATGAAAAGTTTCTTTTAATATGACACCAAGAGTCTACCATTTATGTCTCTCTCAGCTTACAAACATCAGGGATTCGTCCTGTCTTAGTGGAAGAAATACACTTATTTTGAGCCTTGGGGACAAATGTGACAAACCCAGACTTTTATCTTAACAGCATCTTTAGCACTTATCTTGGCACTGAAATGATATTTGGATCACATTATTTGAATGTACAGTTGTTTGGTTTTGCACGTGCTTATAATTTATCTGAGCCTTCACTTCTGGGCATGGCCTTTTGTTGTGAAGTTGCTCATCATTTAGGAGTGTTTAATTCTAAAAAGCCCTCAGCCTAAGAAAGCTTCATCTGTGGGGACCAGAGACTGTTGCTTAGGGAATTAGTGAGACTTGGGCATCTGATCTCCAGGTGACAAGTTTAATTCAACTGAATTTGTAGGGAATTTAGACAGTTGCCCATCTTTGCCATTTAGGGGCCTTGCAGAAAGATATGATAGTTGCTTTTTATTTGCCAGCACCCCTCAGTTATAGAGACAATGGAACATTCACTTACTTTCCATCATCATTCTTCAAAAGGAATGTACAAAAATCTAAACTTTGGCAATAATTTCTTTTTATAATAGTTTACCGTAGGCTTTAATTAAATGGCAAACTCCTCTGGGACCCTTAAGTTATGATGTGATTAACCAAATTTGATTTCCAAGTCATTTACGAACGTAGAGTGCATGATGCCAGCAAAGATGAGGGTGGGGGCAGATACTGGTTCAGTGATTTAACTCACATTATAGATGACCCCTTCCTCAACAGAAATGCTACTGAGAGAACCAGAGAGGCCTGGGCCAAGCAGATCTTACTTGAGAGGAGATTATTTGATAGTTGCTTTGGTTAGAAGGACTTTACATTTCTGGGTTTCAAGTCCAGCACCAATTTAGAAAGTTCAGAGATGAAACCACCTGTCTTTATCTGATAGAGTCATAACTGTTTGTGCAGAAATGTGGCCAGGGACCTTTTTTGTTCTTTCTGATTAGTTAATACTGTACTTTGTAACCAGAAGGGGCAGTTTTGCCAACCAGCCTCTGCTCAGGGTCACCATATGTATATGACAAGGCCTGAGTGAGTTCCTGCATAAACTGGGCGGTGAGCTCTTTTGAGACATTTGCAAGCATGGAAATAAATGAATGACTCTACCAGGAACCATCTGTACAAGTCCATTTACTTACATTCATAAGGTTTATTCTATGAAGCTTCTTCTCATTGTGATGTCAATAACAGAGTTACTGTCTCTGATGGAACAGTGTACCTGTCATTCAAGTTATTTTGTTCCCTGTTGGGTCCTCCAGTATAATCCCCCCATCCCAATTAACTGTAAAATGTTTTCTTTTACACATTACATTTTTTATGCCGTAAACCTGGAAAATAAATTGAAATCTCAAATCGTATCTTATATTTTTTCTTCATGTGATTATTTCAATCTAAAACGTTGCTTACTTTTTCAGGGACATTTTTCACTCTTGCATAATTTTGAGACCTTCAAAATTTCAAGACGACCTGTCATGTTTCTTTGAAAACCGAGACAATTATGATAGATTGGTAAAGTACAACTACCATTGTAACAAAACTACCCGTTGTCAATCATTTTAGAGTGAAGAAAATGTTTTAAATAGATATCTAAAAATGAAATTCTTAGGATCTAAAACATGGAGATCTTTTGAGTAAAATATCTCCATCTTTCATCAAAACAGATCTTTTGAGTAAGCCAGCAAGTGGAAAGGTAGTTGAGTCAAATAAGAAGGAAGAAAAGTAACAGGCCTTGGGTTGATGTGGAAGGTGAATATTGGATTGTTTTTCTAAGTGGCTTGGGAATTCAAGTTAAATTATCAATTGATTTTAGATAGGTCTATTTAAAGGAAACTTGATTATTTGGCAAAGAAATATGAAGCTTGTTTTCTGCTTAACTCAGCATGGAATTTTGACAGCACACAATCAAATGCTTACCTATTACATGGACAGAAATTAGAGAAAGCAGTTGACTAGAAGATATTGGTTGGATAGATTATTGATAAGCTATTTCTTTGGGCCATTAAGCAAAATGTGCACAGTGTGTATCTGCATAAGTAAACCCTGCTAATACACCTTGTGTGCTATCGTTGGGATATTTGTTCCCACCAAATTCCATGTTGAAATTTAATCCCCAGCTCGGCAGTGTTGGGAGGTAGGGTCTAATGGGAGGTGTTTGGGTCATGGATGGATCCTTCAAGATGAATGCCCTCTCTGGAGGAGGCGGGGTGTGAGTGAGGATTCACTCTGTTAGTTCCCTGGAGAGCTGGTTGTTAGAAAGAGGCTGGCACCTCCTCTCTCTCTCATGCCTCCTCTCTCACCATGTGATCTCTGCACACACTGGTTTCCTTTTACCTGCTGCCATGAGTGGAAGGAGGCCAGGCGTTCACCTGATGGCCAGTCTTGCAGCCAGCAGCATTGTGAGCCAAGTGAATATTTTTTCTTCATAAATAACCCAGTCTCAGTTATTCCTTTATATCAATAAAAATAGACTAAAACACCTTGTAAGCTCTGTTACCCAATATAAGTGTTCTGGTTAATCAATTATTCATCCATCAACTCAATAAATGAGTAGCTACCTTGTGATGGGCAAAGTGCTAAGTGCTAGGGATACTAAGATAAATTTCTTGCCTCTAAGGAGCCTGCAATTTAGTGAAAATTTAGTGAAAATTGCAGGCTCCTTAAAGGATTAGAGTCATGGTCCAGGGATGGAAAAAGCTCAGAGGTGACGGGGCACCCTCAGGTCACCCAGACAGTTGGATAAATGGTGCTATCACCCACCCAAACTAGGACTCCATGAAGAGGAGAAGGAGATGTTTCGGGGAGAAGGCAACGAGTTCAGGTTTTGTTGTATTGAGTCTAAAGTGCTTTACAACATCAAGTCAAGATGTCCGGAGGCAGTTGAATGAATGGGTCTAAAAATAAGGTGAGGGGTCAAGGTTAGAGACTCAGATTTGGAGGTCATTAGCACATGGATAGTATTGATGGGCATGATGACATCACTTTGGAAGAGTGTGTAGAGTACAGATGCTAGGAAACACCATCATTTAAAGAGTAGGCAGAGGAAGCGGGGCTGGAAAGGAAGAAATAAGGAGGTAGGACTGGAGCGAGATGAGAATGAGCAGAGTCAGAAAAATCAAAATAGGATTTTCAACAATGTCTGAATGTTTTCAAAATATGAGTTTATTGACAGGATTAGGCAATATTCCACAAAAGGATTGCTCTATTTTCAAAACATTTGCACAGTGTCTTATGCATGTGCTGAAAGATTGAGAAAATAAATTAGAAAATTATACTGCACACTTAACACTAAAACTACCAAGCACAGTTTAACTTTTAGACAGCTCGGAAGGCACTTCGGGATTTTTTTTTTCAGCGCCTCAGGGCATCATTACGAACTCCAATTATTGTTGCCCTGACCAACTTCGTGAGTACTGATAAGTGAAGAGTTAATTGACTGCTGGATAAAGCAACCTTTCATCTAAATGGGAAGGCTCACTAGCAGCTACAGAGAAGGGGTATTCAGATCCCAGCTTAGGCTAGGAAGCCAGCTGACCCAATCAGAGACATGAACCCATCAGAAAAATGTGAAACCTTTCATCTTTCTAGTTTTCCCCCACCCTCCACTCCTGCTGATGAATATGTGAGACTTGACAACTAGAGGGAAGTTCAGAGAGCAAGTCAACCTCCTATTCCTGTTATTCCTGTTTCCTAATATACTAGAAATGATGGTGGCCTGTACACGTTTCTGTATCCAAGTTCATAATGATATGAATGACCATCACTTGAAATAAGTTTAACAGAGCCATGAGAATATGATTTATAAGCTTGCTTCCAAGGCTGAGGCTTCCCTAAGAACTGTCTTGGCTAGAGGAGGGATCTCGACTGATGTTCAAGGTATGGAAGGAGCTAAATCATTAATCATGTATCTTCCCTGGGCTCTGATCATAAGGTCACTCGATGCCTGTGAGTTAGCAAACTGTCAATTCTGTTACTGTCATAATCAAAGACAAGTAAACTTGTGTTAGGGAATTGTTCATCCCAGGCTGCCGTGTTCAGGCACTGCCATGACCCCTGATGGTCCGCCAAAGAACAAGATCTGTTCCATGAGAGTCAAGGTAGTCAACATGGAGATCATTTCCCTCCTGTCCCTGCTAAGTGGGATTGCTGCATTTGAAAAGGCATTCGCTGAATGATACTGTTCCTGATGCGAAGGGAGAGGACAAAGAAATGATGGAAAAGGGAAAGGAGCTGGCTGGGTGTGGGGCGGCTGCTTGCCGCCACCTGTGCTGTCTGTGTGGTAGTGGGTAGCTGTGACTTTGTTTTCATCAGAATTGTTTGGAGCTGGGCTACTCATCATTATCATCGTCGCTGTCATCCTCTTCATCAGAATCATCGTCATCATCATCATCTTCACCTTCATCTTCATTGTCATCATCTTCAGTGTTTATCTTTCCAGAAAGCACATCTTCAATCCAGTCCTCCAGCTCCTCAGCAGTTGGAAGGTCGTCATCATCTGGAATCTCCATCCAGACACTGTCAGCCTGCAGTGAGGGACAAAATGAATGAGTGAGTGAATGCATGAAGGCTGAGCCAGACCAGGGGTAGCTGTGCTGAGTAGCTATGCTGAGTGCCCCTAAGTCTCTTACACTTATTAGGAATGTGCACATTGTTCAATGGAAATGCCATACTGCAAAACGGAATGTGTAGTATACTGTTTGTGTAGCATAAAAGGAAATGTGTATCCCATTACCCAATGGAATATATATATATATGAATGACAGTAGGGATTACATCAGGGAAGTAAGAAATACTTTTTATTTTCACCTTCTATTTTACTGTTCTGTTTTAAAATGTTTTCACTTGAGCATATTTTAAAAGTTATGTATTATTATTACTAATTTTAAAGTAGTTTACAAAATAAATGAATGTAGATTTTGTAAACTAAATGAACATCTACCAACAGGACAAAAGGACATTGCTAACTGGGCCCCATTCTTAAGAGATTCTACCCCAATTAATTATGGCTCTAATGATCTTCTGTGATCATCCCTTTCTGTCCACTGTTTGCCTGGTTGTATCTGTCCCAATTTCGGTTTTATGATGGTGGAGTTGAATCAGGTGTCTGATTCCTTTGAGATCTAAGATTTCTTCACGTTCTGCCAGTCCACCTCACGAGCCTGTCCCACCCTCAGCTCAACAGTGCCTGAATCATGAGGAGAAGCCCCTTACTGGCATATGATTTCTTACTTCCCTTCTGCAGGCCTGGTCTCCTGGCTATGGTGTAGTTGCCTGCCTGGGATTCTGGGCCACAATGGCCCCATTACCCATGGCGCAATGACGGCTTCTGGTGTGGGTTCCCTTCTATAAAAAGACCTTGTTGTTCATTGTTTGGCTTTGGGGGTAAATACTGGAGAGTTTACTTGAGGGGAAAGTTCCAAATCGTGATTCCGGAAAGGCTGGCCCATACACCAGAAAATTGCTCATGGACAGCCATGGAACCACAGCTTGGGACTGGCTAGGAGACCAGGCGTGGAACACACTGGCAAGTTTCCTTGGGCAGGACCCCTGCCCTCTTCTGAAAAGGCTGGACTCCTATCCATGCTCCTACAATCTAGGCTCTGTAGCAGAAGACAGGGCAGGCCAGGGGTGCCTGAGCAAGCCTTCAGAGGGGGTACTCACATCTGTCACATTCACCACCCCAATCTGTGGCCTGAATAGGTCAATCTTGAAAGTCTTCTCCCAATAGGCAACGAGCTGCAGCAACGAAAATGAGACAGCAGGCAGAGGATATTTTCTGAGAAGGCCACTTTCTGTGGCTGGACCCACCCACCGTCCCATTGCAGTAACTGGGTCACCATTTGTTAAAGGTCTTCAAAACAGCTGTGGGCACTTAGCAAATTGAAGACTTAGGCTCAGACTTAAAGCACTTCAATTAAGCGTTAAATAAAAGATGACATAGCATAAATTATGGAAACATGTAAGTGTCTACAGCTGTAAGAAAGAATATTACAGAGGTGGTCTAATGTTGCTTCCCAAATTACCTGTGGCTCTTTTATAGTTTATAGAGTCATTTTCTCCACCTCTTTTTTAATGTCCCATTTTTAAAATTCCTTATCTTGCGCCACCGTGCTACATGAGATAGCTGGGAAAGCCATGATGGGTCATAAGTTGCCTAGTAAGAAGTCTTCTTCATTCAATCGGGCTTGGACTCCATGTGGATAAATCTCTGACTGGGGCAAAAATAAAGGAGCAAGGGGCCACAGTTTTTTG